GTCACATTCTGGTAAATATTCTGCTCGTGTCCTGCCCATGTCTTCAGAGCCTGAATCTGGTGGGATTTAAAGGTTCAGTGTCTCCTTCTGGGCTCTGCTTACACAGCAAGAAGAGGACGGGGAAGCCAACATCGCGTCCAGTGTGCGCCTCCACGTCACCCATTCTTCCAATAGAGCCTACCTCCGACAAGGTCCACCGTCTCTTCAGAGTGCCACAGGCTGGTGACCAAGCTTGAATGGATGGCAATTCGGGGGACATTTAAGATCCAAATCATCTATCACCCTATGCTCTGTAGACTTTTTACTATCTTGATCCACTCGGGAAAAAGTTTGTCTACTTCTGTTAAAAGAGACCACAACCTTATAAATTCTCAGTCCAGAGAATTAGCACTATCCTGTAATGGACTGGCTAGGTTTTCCACCCCTTGACAAACAACGTCGTCCTGCCTGGCAGAAGGCAGGCCTAGCACAAATCACCTCCCATGCATGCTTGCCCAATAGCTCAGGTCTTTCTGCACCAGAGATAGGTAGGGACTATGCCCCATTGGCCAGAAGCTGCACTGTATTTTCTGTCAGTGGGATCAAATGTCTGAAAAAGTTTTCCTCATCAAACCCCAGGCTACGCCCCCTCCCCCACCAGAGATACTTCATTTGTACACGCACTGACAGTGAAAAGGTAGATTCATAAGCACACACATTAGTGCTGTGGGCATAGGCTGGTGTGAACCATGTCTGGCAGGCAACGCATATAGAATGATTCACACATACCAAGCTCAGCATTTAACGCTCATACATGTTATTTCATTGGAAACTGACAGCAACTTATAAAGTAAGGATTTTGATTTTGTTTCTAAGCAAGGAAGCCACATCTCAGAGATTAAGAAATTTTCAAAAGGAGTCTGGAGAGATGGCTCAGTAGTTAAGAGCACTTGCTACTCTTGTAAAGGATCTGGGTTCAGTTCCCAGCACACACACATGGTGGCTCACCAACATTTGTACCTCCAGGTCCAGGAGATCTGACGTGCACTGTGCACATCTGGGACACTTAACATACACATAGGCAAACACACACACACACATAAAATATAAAATAAATAGATGTTTAAAAGGGAAAAAGAAAGGTCATTTGATCAATGGTGAAGAGGAAATTCCAGTTCAAGTCCGAATTCCAAAGGCCCTGTATTTCAACATCATCCAAAAGGCCACGCCAGCAACCCCCAGAACAGCAACTCTCTATACTTTCAAGATAAATCTTGACTGGGGCTCTTAAAGATCTCGTGTGCAGTACATGTCATCCTGAGCTAATCACTGCGGTCAGTTTGCCAGGGTACATTGATTAGCCAGGACTGGTCACATACTCAACTGGGAATCTTGAGGGCGAGCCATTTTCTCCTAAACGGCAGGACTTGACAGTAGCACTGCCAACATGTCCACAGAGCAAAGGCTTAGGGAGCACGCGCAAGGCTCTGGATTCGGTGCTCCATACTACACACCAGGGCAAGTGGGGTAGTTAACCAGAGAGATTTGGGACATGAAGGGGAAATACCAATTTTCCATAGTAAAGAATGTGTGTAGGGAGGGGGAGCCTGTTTTTAGCATTCCTGGGTGCCAGGTGGCGCTAAGAACCGTTCTGTCGTGAGTGTTCTTCATTTGGCCATGCAAAGTGAGAATTACTACATTAGAAACAAAGGGGTGGGGCTGGAGAGATGGCTCAGAGGTTAAGAGCATTGATTGTTCTTCCAGAGGTCCTGAGTTCATTTCCCAGCAACCACATGGTGGCTCACAGCTATCTGGAATGAGATCTGGTGCCCTCTTCTGGCCCTCAAGCACACAGACAGACAGAACACTGTATACATAATAAATAAATAAATCTTAAAAAAAAAAAAAGAGGACGGCGCTGGCGGCGGCGGCGGCGCGGGGCATGGTCCCCGGGTTCGAGGGCCCGGCTCAGGCCGGGGACCTCGTGGCCAACGTGGTGTTTGTGATCGAGGGCACAGCAAACCTGGGGCCGTACTTCGAGGAACTCCGCAAGCACTACCTGCTGCCCGCCATCGAGTACTTCAACGGGGGACCGCCTGCGGAGACGGACTTCGGTGGAGACCATGGTGGAACCCAGTACAGCCTTGTGGTGTTCAACACAGTGGACTGCGCTCCGGAGTCCTACGTACAATGTCATGCTCCTACCAGCAGTGCCTATGAGTTTGTCACCTGGCTCGATGGCATCAAGCGAGCTTTTCCTCCATTTGTGGTCCGCAGAACAGAGTCGGTGTCTGAGTATGCTTGGTTGAGTGTCATACCGTCAGCTTGCCCTTCTCCCCCTCTTTCCTCCTGCTATTCCAGAGCAGTCTGCAGGGTGCACCTGGGCCTGGAGCATCCTTCTGTGGGGGGCATCATAGCTTACAGTGTAGCCGAGGCTAGCCTTGAATTCCTCATCTTCCTGCCTCTACTTCCTAGTTGCTGGGATTACAGACTTGTGCCACCGTGGCTAGTTTGTGGAGCTAGACAGCCTGGAGTAGTCACGGTAACTTCAGACCCAACTCTCTGACCACAGAGTCCCAGGCTCCTTCATGCTGCCTGCCTGTTCTTTCTAAGCTGGAGAAATCTGTGGGCCCTGTATGTGTTCTTTGTGCTATTGGGTGTCTGTTGTCGCATAACCGGTTTCCCCAATAAAGATTTCAGATGGAAAAAGAAAAAAAAAGAAAAGACAAAAGAAAAGAAACAAAGGGGTTAGCTCTGACATCCCTACCTATCAATACACAGCAGATTACTAGAGAACATACTGTTTTATGGCATGACGTTAGTGAGGGAATAATTTATTAATGCATCCAATATGACTTTTTAAAGTTCAGTTTTAAAAACTATGAGTATGTGTGTGTCTGCATGGGCATGTGCACAAGAGTGCAGGCGCCCACAGAGGACGACAGACACGTGACACGCAGGCCTCGGAGCTGGAGCTGCAGCAGTTGTGAGCTAGCTGCATGTGTGCTAGGAACTGAATCTGGTTCTCTGGGAGGGCAGAGCATGCTTTTTTCTGCTGAGCCATCTCTCTTGTCCCTCTGTTATTTTAAAAATACTGAGACGGGGTACACTCTAGTACAGTCCGTCACTGAGCTCTCGTCCATCCTCCTGCCTCACCTTCCTGAGTACAGGCCTGTGCCACCAGGTAAGCTCCTGGTTTCCTGGTTTTAAGAGCCAATGAAGTCTCTGTGGTTGTTCCTATCAGTTAAGCTTCCATTGTTTTCAGACAAACAGCCTTACCATACATGTGGGAAAAGTGCTCTGTAAATATTTGGTTTTGAGCTTAATTTTTAGTTAAGAGAACTGGGTGGCCGTGTGTCTACAGTTGCAGCTGTCCTTTTGTCAGAGCCGTAACAAAGCTGGGGCTGGTCCTGGTTGTTTAGCAGTAGACAGTGAAGGGGCCAGCACGAGGGCTCATTGGACAAAGGTCCTTGCTGCCAACCCCGATGATCTGAGCTCAGTCCCTGGAACCCACATGGAAAAAAGATAGAACCCACTCCCAAAAATTGTTCTTAACCTTCCCATGTGTACTGTGACATATGCACATACATGTACACACTAAAAAACTGAAAAAATAACTCATAAAAATCTGACAATAACCTGGGTTATGCACAATATAGTTTGTTAATTTTGTTAGATGTGATATTGGCATTAAAATCATGAAAACGTGCCTTTAATCCTTAATCCCAACACTTGGGAGGCAGAGGCAGGCAGATCTCTGTGAGTTCGAAGTCAGCCTGGTCTACACAGCAAGTTCCAGGACAGCCAGGACTACATAGTGAGACTCTGTCTCAAACAAACACACAAACAAAACAAACAAACCAACCACCACAAGAAAAGAATCCCACACATAAGCACAGGTGTGGTGGTGAACACCATTAATCTTAACAATTGTGAGGCAGATCACTGTCTATATAGCGTGTTCCAAACCAGCCAGGGCTACATAACAAGGCCCTTCTCAAACAAATAAGCAATGTCCTTTTAAATGATGCACAATGAACTTATTAATGTCATGGTGCACGGCAATAGTCCTGGTGACCTTGAAGCAGGAGGATAGTGGTGAATTCAGTCCAGCCTTACGCACTACCTCTAAAAAAAACTGGGGGTAGGAGACAAACACACATTCAATTATCTAGGGATAACAGTCAATGTCTAAAACTTACTTTTGAGTAATTTGGAAAAAAAAAACCCAACTTGTTAAAACCAGGCACGAGAGAGATATGAGGTGACGTGTGTGTGTGTGTGTGTGTGTGTGTGTGTGTGTGTGTGTACGCGCGCGCATGTGTTTTCAGCAAAGGGTTTCTCTGTGTGGCTCTGGCTGTCCTTGAACTTGCTCTGCAGACCAGGCTGGCCTCAAACTCGAAGACCTGCCCATCTCTGTGCTCCCTGCCCCCCAGTGCTGGGATTAAAGGAGAGCATCACCACTACTGGGCTCTGTTGCTTCTCACTTTACAGCCAGCAGAAGCCCAAGTCCATGTTGGTTTTAATGTCTTGTTAGAGCAGGGGATGGTGGTACAGGCCTTCACTTAGAAAGTGGAGGGAACACACACAAGGTCATTGTCGGTGTACGGTGAGTCTGAAGTGAGCCAAGGGTACACAGCCTAGTATTATGCTAGGCGGCCAGAGAGTCAGACACTGATCCAAAGCAAAACCACAAACAAAGAGGCCTGAAGCTTCCCTAGCTTGGCAACTTCTGTCTTTAGGGCCAAACCCTAACCAAAAGCTGTTGGTTGAAGTTTGGGATGTTTATGCAGATTTGCTGATCAAGAACAAATTAAACTAGTGACATTCACTCACCTATTCACTTACTATTTGTTTTTATTTTGTTTTGAGACAGGGTCTTACTATATAGGTCAGACAGGACTCAAACTCACAGACACCCAGCCTGCCTCTACCCCCAGTGCTGGGAATAAAGCACATCACTTGAATCACACTCACCCCCATTCAACTTAGAATTAATGGACAGAGCTGAACAGTCACCATTCTGGGCACATAGTTTATTGTTCAGAACTTCCCAGCACAGCTATTACCAAGGACCTCTGTCAGCGAGGCCTGAAGAACCGAGACGGAAACAGCCGAGAACAGGCAGGCCTGCCCCTACCCTCGCACCCAATGCAAACAATGTCTTTGGGTATCACTGACCCAGGTCCAGCCTGGCCCAGGCTTCCACAGCACCACCCACCCACATCTCTGGAGGAACAGCAACCTCACAGGAGTAGACTCCCAAGGGAAACCCCAAACGACAAACAACTGTCTTCAGTGATGCTGGGGGAGAAAAGGCGTGGGGACGGAATCTGTAGAAAACCCAAACTGCCACAACCAGTATGCCTACCTGACGTTATTAATCTCTTAGAACACCTAAGTTTTTATTTAAAAAGCAAACTTAGCATATTTATCATCTTTTTAAAAAAACATGTAAACATTGCAAAATTTGGAGGATTATTTATAATCTGAAGAGACTTATAAAAATTATTGGACTTGTTAGGACTATAAATACTAACCCTTCCACCCCCCACCATGAAAAAAGAAATTGTTACAAAAATATAAAAAAATAGACTAGCTTCTAGTTAATCATTCATTGAGACATCTCAGAATGTATATGCCTAGCAAGCACACACGCTACCTTTTCAACTTTCTAAGGAAAGTTCCAGAACATTTCATTTTGATAAGACCGTGGCTGCTTCCTTCACAGTAATATAATCTCGTGTTAGCAGCTTGAAGTTCTTTTAAAAACTGCACCCCCCTGCACAGACCCAGTGTGGAATCACAGCACAGGACCCCCCAGTCCTGCGCATCGCTCTCTCTAGCTCCTTGTGTTCCCCCAGACTCACTGGGTACATGGGCCCCTGAGCTGGTCATGGCTTCCCTCACTTCTCATGACGAAGGTAGACAGCCAAGGACTGTTGGGGAGGAAAACCTGGCCTGCTGCTCCCTGTAGCACCCATCTCCTTGGCACGCACCTGGCTCCACCCAGGTGTGGTGGCGGCTACTCTGTGGCACGGAGGGATGGCTGATGACGTGGGGCACCATCCACAGATGGGGAGGGAGGCAGGAAACTGCTGTAGGGGAGGTTTGCTGACTCAGACTGCACACCCCTTCCTTGCAGTTGGTGTAGCGGGCGCTGTCATCAACTATAGTCACAGGATGAGCCAAATTTAGTTTGAAACAGTTAAAAGACCTGCAGGGGCTGAACTGTCAGCTTTTTAAAAAGATCCACCTCCTCCTAACGTGGGGCACTTTACAGCCTTTGCTCATTTCTCCTGCCACCAGCAGAGGGCAATCGGTACAAAGGCTCAGATGAGCCCTGGGCGGGGTGGGGGGGGGGGGGGGGGGGGAGTGAGGGGGGGTGGGGGGGTGGGACACGACGCGGACTGCCCCTAGGTAACCAGTAGGATGGATCCACCACAGGCAGAGAATCCTCACGTCACCAAGATATTTCAGGGCTCTCCCTGGTGTCCCTGCAGCCCGGGAGACCTTTTACACCAAGGTCTCAGCAAAAGCATGCGCCGAGCTCAGGGTGCTGAGTCATCCCGCACCTGTGGTGCGGCTCAGAAGACACAGCTCAACTTGCAGCCTGCTTTCCCCCACTTCCCCTCAGGACCTCTGACCAAGGTCACGGCCCCTGCCAATGCTGTGTTCAGTACAATCTAACCTGGAATCTGATGTGACCCCGTACCACTACGGGCTTCAGTATTCTGGTCTGTGATGGACTGTCTATATCCAGACCAGAATGACAAGTTTTCTCTGGGTGCTTGCCGGACTTGCAGGTTTGCTGTTCAAAACGTACGGGATCTCAGTGTTGATTTCTGGACTTCCGGTCCTCACCATGTAAAGTCACACATTCCCAACATCTGCTTGATTCTGTAGATAAGAACGCTCTCATTTCAATGCACCCTGGCTGTTCAAAACATAAAGGAACTTTCCGAACACAAGAAGGATAGGTGATTCAGAGAATCCCAGCCACATCTGCCGAGCAAGTTGACTCTACTTTGGCTGCATTTAACAAAAAACAACAGGGCCTGCGAGACATTGCAAAATCACTGTTTGCTCAAGGCACAAAGAAAGTCTCCTGGGAAACATGATGAACCGGGCTGACGGCCTGCATGAGGTCTGAGGCAGAGTCCAAGAGGAAGGCCTGGGTGGGATTGGACCGAGACCCTCTGGCGCCTGAGGCATCCTCATGCGAATTTCTCCAGGAACTTGAGGTGAAAATCTTTCACCTTATGGAGCACTGTCTTCAGTTTCTCCACGGGAGGGAGAATTGTCATTCTGTCAGGAAAGAGAGCACCATCAGCCTGGCTGTTCATAGGATGAACAACAACACTCCAACAACACTCCTTGCACTGCTGAGTGAAGGTCGGGAGGGTGACGAGGTTGGGAGGGTGATGAGGTTGGGAGGGTGACAAGGTTGGGAGGTCCCTGTGTAGACACATGGCCCCACCCTGTCTGATTTAGAGAGAGCTTCTCATTTGTGAAACTACTGTCTCCCCTAGTCCTTCTTCCCATTCTCACATGCTGTCCAGAAGAGCCATGAAGCCCCGAGCCTCAGCAACCCGCTTGCCTCAGCCTCCAGGAAGCTAGAAATATAGACACATACCTCCACAGTGGCTTGTACACAGGCATTTTCACTACGGTGAGACCTATCTACTAAAGCAATGAACTGGATCAACTCACCAAAATGTATCTTTCATTACTGCAGAAGGCCAACACCACTGTTTTGCTCGTTGGGTTTTGTTGTTGTTAAGACTGGGTCTCTGTATGTAGCCCCGGCTGTCCTTAGAACTTGCTATGTAGGCCAGACTGACTTTGAAGTCAGAGATCTACCTGCCTTGATCTCTTCACCACCCCCCTCCCAACATTTTCTTCCTCCTTTATAAAACAAGGTTTTATATAGGACTGGCTGTTCTGGAATTCACCCCGCTGCTCAGGCTGGCCTTGAGGTTGCTGTAATTCTTCTGCCTCAGCATCTTAAAGTGCTTGTATTACAGGCATGCACCACTACACCTGGCTAGGGCACCACATTCTGACTAGTATAGAACATTCTAGAATAGACCCCCCCCCATTTTGTGGTGCTAGGGATTGGATTCAGGGTTTCATGGATGCTAGGCAAATGGCCAAACTATATTCTAATCCTAGAGCATAATTCTTACTCTTTTTTTTTTCCTTCTTCAGAAATTAAACATTTGACTCTTTGGGTGTGCGTGTGTGTTCCAGGATCCAGCTTCTGACAGGAAGCCAGCCTCACATCTCAGCTTTCACTTCACAGATATCTCCAGTTGCCACACTAACCCAGCTCTCCCTCTGGTCCCGACAACAGGCTTCCCAGCTCAACAGCACTTTGGGTGGCACGCAGGGCACGGAACCCAGGACTCACACTCATCGTATGTGTGACCACATCTCACCTCTACACACCAGAATATCACCACAATCTCAGCTCTACATTTTGGATGGATCTTAATTCACAGCAGAGACCCCGACCAAAGGTAAAAGGGTCAGGTAGGCAGTTTGTCCCTCTTAGGACACAACCCGTGTCCTTTGACTAAGCAAAGACTTGGCTCCAGATGCCAGGCACTCATGACATTTCTTTTTTTAGCATCTGCTACAAGATACATGGCCACAGGAGCGGTGAAGAAATGATCGGATTCTGAGCGGAGCTGGCCTTGGGGAGGAACACTTGCCGAACAGCTCTGGGAATCTGTGTTCATGTCTATTCAGGGCTGGACAAGGCATGGTTGTGAACAGCCTCTCCGAATGTGGAGCCACTTCTATGTCAGTGTGGTGCCTTAGCAGCCTTTGGGGCCTAGGGTAGTGCCACGCCCACAGTGCAGCCAAGGGGCTACAGAGCACCTGCCCTGCGCCAGGCTGTCCTGGTTGCTTTTTCTGCCAACTTGACACAAGCTAGAGTTATTTGGGAAGAACTTCACTTGAGAAAATAACTCTATCGGACGGGCCTGATGATTGATGTGGAAGGGCCCAGCCAGGCACGGGCAGTGCCACCCCCGGGCAGACGTCCTGGGTTATATAAGAAAACAGGCTGAGCTAGCCGTGGAAAGCAAGCCAGTGAGCAGGACTCTCTGTGGTCTCGGTTTCAGGTCCCGCCTCCAGGTTCCAGGACTGGCTCTCCCTGCCCGTGGACTGTAACCTGTACGCCAAATAAACACCTTCCTCCCCGAGTTGCTTTTCATCATGGGGCTGACAATAGTAACAGAAACCTAACTAACGCACAGGCTTTGCTCCGCGCACCCAGAAGCACGGAGTGTGACAGGGACAGGAGGCAGCAGAGAGAACAGTCCAGGGACACTCAGGAGATGGCTGTGCAGTGTCTCTGTTTTCCTTCTCTCTGACAGGGTCTGAGCTTGCCATGGTGGGATCACTCAAGGATAACAGAGGCTCAAACCTCTCAGTCTCTAAAGCAGGAACCCAAGTTGCCCCGGACAAGCCAGGGACTAACACCGCCCGCCTCCGCAGAAGATACTTACCTGAAGTGGTAGGTGCCTTCTCGCTGCCCAAAGCCACTGCCAGGCACGACACAGATGCCAGTCTCCTCCAGGAGCTTCATACAGTAAAACATGTCTGGGGCCATCTTATGGGCCTGCGGGGGGAGGACAGAGCTTGAGATTCATGTCTGACTCTACACTAGACCCATGCACATTAAAACCAAAAACAGAGACAGAGCTGGTTTTGGTTCACACTTATAATCCTAGTACTTGAGAATCTTCAACAAGAATGACTTCAGCACCAGCCTGAGCTACATAGTGGGATCCCACTTGGGCAATCAAGACCCCTTGGGATGGTGATCAAAGCCAGATAGAACCAGAATGCAGAATGCCAGGTCCTCTTTTCTGTGCCTGAGCTCTTCCCTCCCCCGTTCCTGCCTGCAAAATACGGCAGGATATCAGGTCACGGTCGGAAAGATGGTTCTGGGGCCCAGACATCTGAAGGCCCTCCCGATCCTCATTCAAGGGTTCCAGTATTTCCTGCCCCCATCCCAGTAACTGCCAAACAGACACCAACGGCAGATACCTGTGTGCCAAGTCATAAAAATGATCTGAAAACAAGGTCTTGGGGTCTAAACCCAGTGGGGGCCTTCAGGGGATGAGCGCCGAGCTTCCGCTGACAGTGCTAATGATGCAGGGCTAGTGATGGCTGAGCCAGTCAACCTGACTGGATTGGGAAAACCTAGGGCATCAGGGAAGCAACACTTTCAAGCCTGTGGCCAACAGTATTTCCAGAGGAGCTAACACCAGGACTTGCCTGACTGTGAACAACTTGCCCATGGGCTAGGATATAAGAAGCAAGACAAGCACACAGACAAAGACAGACAGACAGATAGACAGACAAACACACACACACACACACTGGCTTCTCCTTCCTCTGCTCCCTGATCCCCGCCCAGATGTGAACAGGCGGCCTGTGCTTCTGCCCCAGCCTCACGTGACTCTTGTCTTCTCCACCACAGAGAGCCATATCATAAACCAGGAGCCCAAATCAATCCATTCTCCCTGACGCTGTACCTTGTCAGCTGTTTGGTCACAGCAATGAAGACAGCCACAAACACAGCAGGTTACAGAACAATCCCCGAGAGTCCTGAATCCCGACACTGGGTGTCTGATTCTGTGTATCTAGGAATTCCCCATGTCTAACAAGGTAGCCTGGTATTTCAGGGATGCATGAGGATGCTCTTTTCAGGCATAATATCACTGCTTCTCCCTCTCACGATCACACCCCACTAGAGTCCTGCCCTTCAGAGCCGGCATGTCTTCTTGTTTCCATGTGGATGAGTGTTTTACCTGAATGTATGACTGTGTACTGTGTACATACCCGATATTCTTGGACATCAGAAGAGGGTGCTGGCTCCCTTAAAACAGGAGTTATGGATGGCTGTGGGTTAAGCACCATGTGGGTGCTTGAAGTCAGACCCAGACCTTCTATAAGCAGCAGGTGTCTTAGCAGCTGAGCCACCCCTCCATCCATGGAGCAGTACTGCGGAGGTCCACGCTGGACTCTCACGTGGGGTTGGCCTCTTGCTTGCCCGACTACCACCACGCTCTGCTGCTGCTGGAACTCTAAGAAGCTGCCACACGGTAAACTGTATCTATCCAAGAGGCTCACAGAGTTCAGAACCCCTAAGGCCAGCAGCGCTGCTCACCAAAGCAAACGCCAACCATGACCCAGACAGCTCAAGTGAAGCCAGGAAGACAGCCAGCCCTCCACTGACCTGAGCCGCCTCCACAGCCTTGGCAGGAATGAGAATCCGGGGAAAAGCATACATAGCTCCTTGCAAGGGGTTGCACTGAATCCCTGGGACTTGGTTAAACAGATCTTCTGTCAGCTTCGCTTTCTTGGCCAGATTACCAAGAACGAATTCTTTTTCCTGACAATGGACATAAAGCACAAGTATCAATAACCCTAGGTAAGGTCAACACATAGGTAATAGAACACAGTGACAGAAAATGAACTGTGTGTGCACAGCACTGTAAATAGGGCAAGGGGAAGGGAGTGGATATGGACAGATAGATAGACAGGGCTTTCTGCAGGGATCTTTCTTTCTTTCTTTCTGTTTTTTTTGTTTGTTTGGTTTGGTTTTTTGTTTATTTGTTTGTTTATTTTTGAGACAGGGTTTCTCTGTAGCTTTGGAGCCTGTCCTGGAACTACCTCTTGTAGACCAAGCTGGCCTCGAACTCACAGAGATATGCCTGTCTCTGCCTCCTGAGTGCTGGGATTAAAGGCATGCCCCACCACTGCCCGGCTGGGATTTTTTTCTTTTCTTTTCTTTTCTTTCTTTTTTTTTTTTTTTAAACTTTATTTATTTATTATGTATACAGTGTTCTGTCTGCATGTACGCCTGCCGGTCAGAAGAGGGCGCCAGATCTCATTACAGATGGTTGTAGTTTCTGGGAATTGAACTCAGGACCTCTGGAAGAGCAGCCAGTGCTCTTAACTGTTGAGCCACCTCTCCAGTCCCCAGGCATTTTTTTTTCATTCATCAATCTTAATAAACCTGACCCTGGAAGGAATATCCTAGAAACACATCTATGAGAGTCATGGGTCTTCCTGGGGACCAGCCCAGCCCCATCATGTCATCCAGGGACTACCCTTTTGCATTCTGTCAGTGCGGTGGACACAGATCCAGAGAGAACCGAGTCAGCAGAGCTGGAAAAGCATCCACGGCCAGAATAGAATCAATCGGACTTTCTGCAAGTACTACTGTGCAAAAGCTAGGTCCTGAAGATGAGCAGATGAACAAAAGGTGGCACAGCCGTGCAATGACATACAACCCAGTCAATCCCAAAGAGACTTCTGCTCTTCTGAGACACCGCGCAACAATCTGAATTTCTTTCCAAAATGAAGCTAACTGTTTGTTTAGACAGGGTCTCTCTGGCTGTCCTGGAACTCACCATGTAGACCAGGCTGGCCTCAAACTCACAGAGATCCTTCTGCTTCTGTCTCCTAAATGCTGGGATTAAAGGCATTCACTACAGTAGGCTAGAACCATATATTTAAAAAGAGCAAAGGTTTAGTTATTATTTTACTATAAAGAAGAGGAGAAAGGGCGAAGGGGGAAGAGAGGTGCGTGGTAGTGTATGCCTGGAATCCTAGCCTTTGGGAGGTTGATACAGTAGGATCGTGAACTCAAAAACAGGGCTATTAAACCCTGGTCCGAAAAATCAAACAAGTAAATCTCACCCTTATAGCCCCTGCAGAAAGAAAGAAAGAGAGAGAGAGAGAGAGAGAGAGAGAGAGAGAGAGAGATACATTTATACATCCTGGGAACTGACTTTTAGATTGTACAATCTGAAATGGTTTTATTGTTGCTTTTTAAACTGATACTCTGTGCCTATCGACTTCCCCTTCTTTTCGGGTTAGTAACAAAAATGTCTGCCAGACATGGGGCTCTCCTGGGATCCTCCCCACTTACAATGCACACAGGTGAGAAAGAAGAGAACATTCTTCCCACTTCCAAACACACTCTGTTGCACTTTTGGACTTAACTCATGAGAGTGGTTCGGCCACCAAGAGACATCATGGGTGACCCTTGAGGGATGGGTGCGGACGGACACCACAGACATACCATCAAATGTATGGCTGCCCGGAGAGCCGTGACCCTGGCAACAGCAGTGACGCAGCTGGGTCACGCGGACTCACCCTGATGAACTGCTCGAAGGACTCCTCGCCGGGGACAGGGGGATTCACGACAATGTCCATGGCGGCTTGTCCAGACACTGGTGGGCAGAGGCGAACCGATAGGAGCTTCACCAGCTGGCCTTTGATCTCAGGGTGCAAATTAATCACCTCCATGTAGCCTCCTCGGTAGCCGCACCTGCAGAATTGGCGAGGGGGAGCACCAGTTACAGGAAGGCCATGCAAATGCAGCTTGGACGGCAGATTCTGTACCGCCACACCCTGAGTACCAGGCAGGCAGCTGTGGCTGAGCTCTTGCCAGGGGTAGATGAACAGGTAATGGACGAGGACACTTTCCTACAAAGAAAAGCAAGTGCTTGCCTTCCTTTCTTCCCTTCCTGTTCCCGGGGAGCCGGAGGAGACAGAGACTACAGACAGTCACCCTAAAGATGGAGACTGTGTGCTGAGGAAGCAGACTCACAAGCCACGGTCCTCGAATGACCTCAAGGAGCACAGTCTTGTTTTCCCGGATTCTTTGAAGCATTATGTCAAAAATAGACAGATTTTCACGCTTTTGGAGCCTCTATATTTTAGGGCCATTTTGTTATAGCTGCTTACCCTGAAAACTAATCCATATACTAGTCTATATCTAGCTAAGTCAAGAACAATCTCAGGAAACGGTTCCTTTGACCGTGGCAAAATATTTCTTCAGTCTTCATATGCCATTCCCTCTGCCTAGGACGTACTTTCCCCAAATGTCTCCCTTCCTCCAACTCCAGTTCCAGCTTCCGGCATTTCCACCTCCTCTGTGACCTCAGCATTCCACCTGCCACGTGACCTTCCTCTTTGCTCTTTACTCCTCAATAACATATTAGCCATGTATGTTACGTGTATGTTACAGTGCTACAAACTCGGGGTGCTCAGTAAATCCTAGTCAAATAAACAAAGATGGGCCCCAGACTGGGCCTTTGGCCTTACAATCCTGTGCTAAGGCAGCCTTGGACACGGAGCTTGGTACCTGTCCACCCAGGGCCCCTCTTCACGGGCCCTCAGACTTCAGTCAGGGTCAGAGCAGTAGATTCCAGGCTCAGAGCTGCTGTGGGAAACTTTTCATTTCTGTCCCTAACCCAGAGTCTGGTCTGAACACGGCTGCAGGTCACTTGAGCCCTTGCCCAAGGACGGCTCTTACACCACTAGATCTGCCAGGGGGGTGCGGCCTGTCCATCTCCTGACTCTCAGAGCTGCAGCACAGGATAGGGGCTGCCTTCCAACCCGTGGGCCACGGGGTCAAGCAGAGGAGCAGGCAGAAAGGAGGGAGCAGGGCTGGGACAGCAGGCCCGCTAGCGCCGGCAGAGGAGGGGAGTCCGACATACTCGCCCATGTAGCCCTTGGAGGTGGAGTAGAAGGACGCGAGCTCCACGTTGCTGGAGTACTCGTGCCCCATCTGGTAAAGCACTTTCTTAAAGGAGTGGAACCGACAGTCGGCAGAGTACACGTTGTCCTGATATACCTGCAGGGGGAACATGGCAGGGCAGTGAGCTCTCCTGGAAGGCCTGGACAAACGCAGGTTGTGGCTGAGAGTAGCCAAGAGTCCACACCCAAGAGAGGTGCACAGGCGCGGTGAGAACCTGTGGGTCAGAGGTAGGCCACAAAGTCCAGCCTTCAACAAACCAACCAGCCCAGCTTCCAAGGCTATTTCCACAGATAAGCCAGAATATACCTGAAGGAACCTTCCAGAACAAGCAAGGGAAAAGCCTCGGGCTGGTTGCTTCCGTTTACGAGCTTAGGAGCTTCCCTGACATTCCTTCCGCTTCCCATACCCAATCTCCAGCCTGCCTGTCTGGCACACCAGGTCGGTGACGGCACCAGGGACTCCCATCCTCCCACACAGATTCTTCTAAAGCATTGTTCACTCGTCTAGAGACGCAAAGTGCCAGCCGTCTTCTCTGTTTTAGGGGTACACTCGCCAGGTGTCCTTTATGCCACTTACCGGGTTTGGAACCATTTGTCTTCGCCTCTGCTCTCTCTGCCAGAGCAGGGTTCACGCGCCTCGTTCTTCCCTGGGTCTAGATCTAGCGCTCATGACCTACAAGTACCACCCTGCCTGGTCCATAGCCAGGGGGAAAATCAGGCGAGCTTCCACCTTCAACGGCGGAGGCCCTGCCCTCCTCTCAGACCAGTGGGGTGGTTAGTATATTGTCAAAATCCCAAGGTCTCTCTGTTGCCTTTTAGAAATTAAAGCTTTTAGGTCCATGGTTAATTACGACTATTTAAACGAGGAAATATTGCAGAGTGCTTAGGGAGGAAAGAAAATGGTATCTAGAAACTTCAGCTAACCAGAAAACATACAGCAACGAAGATAAACCGACAATGGAACATGGTGGGTCCTCGGTTTCCTTCTTTCCGAGCGGACAAAGAATGGGCGAGCCAAGGAGTCATGACTGGGGTTCAAGAAATTACAGTTACAGACCCGAGATGCTCACAGGCTCGCCGGCGGTTGGAGAGTAACCGAGACAGGAGATGAGAACTACAGAGAGAGCCCAGAACTGCACACTAGGAGTGGCATCGGCCATTTCTGCCACAGGGCAGCTACAGCCTGCTCTTAGGTAGGAGCCCACGGAGTTCCCTCCGGCAAGGTCCTCCCTGGCTTTCCAGGTGGATGTTGGGGAAGAGCAGGGCAGACATCCTGCACCTTGCTAGGGTCTGGCCAATCTGCATATTACAACCCCAGGCAACAGTGATTGCTTTAATAATCGTGGCTCAAGTTAAATCAATCAGGCGTAAACTTACTGGAACCACAAGGATCAAAGCTGCTTTCTAGGCTGGAAAGATAATCAGTCTGTGTGTGGGGCTGACACACAGAGATGAAAGAAGGATTCGGAAGACATAATTGGAGTCCAGGGTCTAGCCTGTGACCTGTGACCCCATCATCATCATCATCATCATCATCATCATCATCATCATCATCATTATCATCATTCTCCAAGTTGAAAGCTACTTTAAAGCTGACAACTTTAAAGCTCTCAGCACTGGGAGACTGAAGCACCAGGGTTGCTGTGAGTTTAAAGCCAGCCTGGGCTACACAGTGAGTTCTAGGGTAGCCTGAGTTACATAGCAGAGTCTCAGTCTCCCTCTCCCTATCTCCATATACATGGAGAACGTGTACGTGTGTGTGTGTGTGTGTGTGTGTGCGCGCGCGCGCGCGTGTGTGAACACTATAACTAGAGTCCAAATCAACAGAGAGATAATTCGTGTCCCAAATTCATAGGTTAAGAATGTACATCCTCATCTTTGCTTGCCCAGAATCATTCTGCCTAGAAAGTTCTCTCTGGCTACTGAATAATCAGAGCTGGCTCCCTCCCCTAGAAGAGCAGGCTTGCCCCCTCCCTCTCTGAGCTTGCCCACCAACTCTGGGACTGCTCTTACCTCATCAGCCAGTAGGAAAAGCTTCTCTTCCCAGGCAAAGTGAATCACATCTTCTATGCACTTTCTGCTTTGTACCTGGCCTACAAAATCCCCAAAAAAACCAAAATGTAGGTTGTATTGCTACTGGAGTTGTCCCCAAGTAATACTCCCACCCAAATCACTCGGGTGTCCTGAGTTCCCTGGAGAGCCCAGGAGACCGCCCTCCTAGCTGCTCTGCCGAGCAGGGAAACCAAGCCCCAGTCATGCCTACAGGCTCCACTCCTGCCTAATTTAATGAAGTCGGGCACGGGCAAGGAAAAGTATTTCACACCTAACTTTTTCGTTAGTCTGGGGTGTGCACATGTGTGCACACGTGTTTGTCTTTTCTGGAGGACAGAAAGGCACAAACATGTCACGGTGAGCAGGGAAATAAAACGAAGGAGTTAACTTCATCGGCGGGGGGGGGGGCCCCCCACTCCTCTACTACGCACCAGCAGCAAGCAATGCAGAAAACTGCATTGGTTGATATGGTAACTGAGCCAGAGTTACTGAAGAAGAACTGTGGGTGTCTTCCCAGAAAGGCAGGTGCACACGCCCACAAGGAAGCGACAGGCTCATCCCAGCTCATCTACCCTCAGAGCCGGCAAGTGTTCAAAGCAGTACTTGCAGAATACCAAATGAATGAGCCAGGCCGGTGTTCCCTGCCAACGGCTACTGCAGGGAACTGGCCCCATTAGGGACCCTGAGAGAGCACACTGCAGTTCTCCTTGGCCTCCTTCAGGACGTGCCTCAACACCAGCAGGGAAGACATCCACCACGCGTGTCAGAGAATGGCTGCGAACGGCAGGATGGCTAAGTCAGCAGCCTAGAGGCACACCACAGAAGCAGAGGGCAAAGGGGAAAGGGAGGAAGTGGAGCTTTTCCCTGTAGTTTCTCCTCGTTTTGAGTGGGTCACTAGGGATTTCCGGTGTGCTCAATCAGGCTTGCTGATTTCTTTACTGTATGTACAGCACATGTATGTCATGTGATGCATACATGCACAAATATAAACATATATACATGTATTATTCCTGCATGTATAGACATCCTAAAGCAGAAAAGCATGTAGACTGTTACCTTTTGGCTAAAAAGAAAAAAAAATCTATATATTTATCTAGGGAATGATATGAGAATATCTATAAAAACAGAAATGTATCTTAAAATGATTCAGCCAGGATTTCTACCTTCCACTACTTAAGCAATGAGCCAGTTTCTTTAGTAAGGGACTGACTTATTTTTGGCCAACGAGTGCCAACCAGGCTTCATAAGCAGGGAGCTCAGGGCTCTGGGACTCCAGGAGAGTGCCAGGCCCTGGTTTCTGTATGGAACCAGCACTGCTCTCGCAGACAGGGGCTGACCTCTTCGTGGGCAGAGCCTGCCGACAAACCCTTTGTGGGTCTTGTGATCTCCTAACCTCATCCTACTGGAATGCAAGCAGAGATGTGAGCATCAGAATGTGCAAACACACGTCCACAGAATGCTAAGGGGTCCACAAAGAGAAACAGAAGGACCACAGCCTTAAGAGGGGCTCAGTCTGGTGGCGGAAATGAGATTGAAGGGATGCAAAGGTTCCACTGATATACACAGTGCACACTTGAAGGTAAAAGACAGGCTTATGTTTACCCTGGGCCTGGAATCCAGCCATCACTAGGGCACAGCCATGAAGACACTGAAGAGACAAACATGAAAAGTTATGGAGAATAAGATACGTGGCTTTAGAGGGGTCATTCTATGCCCAGCTGGGGGGGGAGACATAAGACGCAACTTTGCTACAGGTCTAAAAAACTACTTTGCTGCTGATCCCTAAGAGCAGCACACCAGCAGATGGGGCTAAGCAATTCCCTACAAACGGATAGGAACACCTGTGACTTTACCTCCTCCCTCCTGCAGCATACCACACCTGTCTTGTGAAGACAGTGCAGCAGGAGATACAAGTCCTGGCCTAGATACACACTTCTAATCCAAGCACTGTATGCTGAAACAGGAGACATACAAGTTCGAGGCCAGCCCAAGAAGGACTTCTGAGTGAATAAATGAAAGATATGTCTTATCAAAGTCCTAGTGATTTGACTGGTTCAGAGATGGGCCAGGAAGTACCTACCCTAGGACTCTCAGTGAAATCACAGGAAAAGATGGACTCTAAGGTTGCATCTGATGAGCAAGGGATGGAGTTGCTGAAGGCCCCCAAGGACAGATTCTAAGAAGGAATCTAACTCAGAGGACAGCAGAGCTGAGATATGAACTGAGGTACTTCCCACACCAAAGTTGATTCAGATGACCACTTTACGACCAGATGTCAGGTTCTACCATACGGCCTTTCAGTTTTGAGCCAGGTTTCTCTCTCTCTTTCTCTCTTGAAACCCAAAGCACCCTGGCTTAACCTCTCAAGCTACGTTGGCATCTTTTAGCCAAGCTGGTTATGGTATGTAGTTGGGAAGTTTCCGTTTCCTGCCACTCCTTCCCTAGCAGCTGACTGATTTCCAAAAATTAAGGCCTCAGAGAAAAAGGGGTGGATGGTGCTTACTCATAAATCAAACTCTTCAAAAGGGTTATAAAGCTGAGTGGTGGTGGCGTATTAGCCCAGCACTCGGGAGGCAGAGGCAGGCGGATCTCTGCAAGTTCGAGGCCAGCCTGGTCTACAAGAGCCAGTTTCAGGACAGCCAAGACTACACAGAGAGACCCTACCTCAAAGAAACGAGAGAGAGAGAGAGAGAGAGAGAGAGAGAGAGAGAGAGAGAGAGAGAATTACTTATAATAATACACATTCACAGAGTCCCTTTACTTACAACAGGCAAGTCTTTGGTAGAGGTATGCCCTCCCAGGCAGGGAGGTAAAAAGATTTCCGGGGCAGAAAATCCTGACTCAGAAGACAAGCAAGTGGCATATGTCTGTAATCTCATCACTCAGAGGCGGAGGAGTGGGGCAGCTGTGACTCTGAGGTCCGCCTGGATGGCACAGCCAGTACAGGCCAGATAGGAAGTCACGGTCTCCAAAGAAACAGACAGAAAGGAACTGACTCAAGAGCCGACTCAGCATACAAATGCTGCCGGACTTGCTGTCCCAAGTGCGGCCCTGGGATCAGCAGAAGTGTCATCTTGGACTGGGTGGACCTGCCAGTTCTCCAGCCCTACCCCAGTCATTAAAATACGGGTGAGCGGAGTCCACCTTCTGTACTTTAACGAGCTCAAAGTTTAGGAACCGGTGTCCTAAAGAAGCAGTTCTCAGGGTTAAGAACACTGACGTCTGGACTGACCTGGGATGTTTTCCAAGCTGGCTTCGTGATACTGATCTACAGCCCGATTGAGAACAGAGTCCTGTGTTGTTTCCCTGAACTACATCATGGGTAGACTAGACTCTTCATCCCTGCTACAAGGCGCTGGAGCACGCACACCAGTGTTCGCACCAGGTGCACCTCGACTGCATTCAAAAATTAAAGTGATTGTTTTCAGCTTATTGAAGCTTCAGCTCACGTTTCGGAGAAGCAGATTCCACAGTCAATTCTGATGTATTTTGGCCCCACTCCAACTGAGCTCAACAAAGAAAGAGAAGGGAGTTCCTGTTCTCTCATCCAAATAACCCTGGAGCCAGCCACATGAACCAGCAGCTTGGGGGTCAAAACAGGCAGGACTGGATACTTTTTTTCTAAGAAAAACATGCAAAATCTGGGGCATTTTTCAACTTCTAGAAACAGACTTTTGTTTATTTGTTCGTTTGTTTTTAATATGGCATTTTCTTCTCAAAGGAACAGCCAAACTCCCCACACCAGCATTCCGAAACACAGTTGAGAAAAACAAGAGGAAGTAATGTGCTGTGCCCCGGGTGGGAGGGTGATGTTTGTGTGGAGAACCTCAAGATGAGACTTTACAAATGGAGGTAAACTATGAAAAAGAACAGGTTCTGTTGGTAACACAACCCTCAAAAACAAAAGCAAAAGAACAAAAAAAGAAAAGGAAAGAAGGAAGGAAGGAAAGAAGGAAGGAAAGAAAGAAAGAAAGAAAGAAAGAAAGAAAGAAAGAAAGAAAGAAAAGCAAAAAGCTGCCTGCTTCTCATCTCCTGAGGCGGCCTGAGGCGAGCTCCAAAGCTGTTAGCAACTGTGGAATGAATCAGGAAACTGGCACAGAGAGGACCTGTGTCCCTCAGTTCTTTAGTGGCCAAGCGTCCACACACCAGCCCCCTCCGAGCCCCTGAGAAAGCAGTAAGGGAGTGACTCGCAGACCTGTGGGGTTCCCGGGGTTGATAATGCAGAGAACTTTGGGGTCACAGTGGTCTTTGGCTTGCCGCACTGCCCGCCGGAGCTCATCCACGTTCAAGGCCCAGCAGTTCTCCTCATCTAGGTAGTAGTTCACCTGGACGGCATCCAGCTCGGAGATGACCGCGGAGTAGAGAGGGTACTGGGGGATGGGGATCATCACGCCTGTCCGTGACTTGCCGCCCCCAGAGACCAGCAGCTTCAGGATCGTCTGCAACAAAAGGTAACATCTACAGGGGCCCTGCTGCTTCTCATCCTTCCGGAGGCAATGAGCAGACAAGCCTGAGGCGGCCCAACCCCAGCTCCCTCTCCACCAGGGGCCCCGCTGCCAGTTCGCTTCACTTCTGTTTCCTTAGCTGGAACACGAGAGGTGAAGTAGGCAGTACAAAACACATGTGTTAAAGCTCTTGACTTACGTACGACATGTAGGAAAGGACTGGCCACTTGACAAGTGTGGAGCAACACATGCTTAATAACAGCAGTGGCTGAGGCATGACCATGAGGCCAGCCTGGGCTACACTGTGAGATCCTGTCTCCAAAAGCCCAACCAACCAACCAACCAATCCCTTTCTAAAACAGTATCCCAGCTGGTCCTGCCCTAGAATTATTCTGACCTCACCCTGGTAATCTCATTTAAACTCTGCGTGATCAATAACCATCAGTTGCCCACACATGGCTGGACGGACTTCTAAATAGAAGACTGTTGAAATGGCACCACCAGCGAGCAGGTTCAATCCCTTGCTGCAAGAATCCCACCAGAATGGGAAGCATGACATCTCACTCTCTCTGGGCCTACTTCCTCAAGGGTTCCAGTAGGGAGATCAACGTATCTATTTGAAAGGCTTTGGGAAGCAAACACTCAACACCAAAGCAAGAGCCTGTGAGGTCAGGAGACAAAGGCCCCCAGTAAGACGGAAAGGACAATAACAGTTGCTCACGTAGGAAGAATATGCAAGTTAATGGGACTTAGCACAGAACTGGAGTCACAGAGAAACACACCAAAAGCAAATGGAGGACCAGGGTGTGTGCAGCTAAGTGGTCCAGCACTCGCCTAGCAGACTGAGGGCCAGGTTTGATTCTCAGTACTAAAGAGAAAACAAAACAAGCCAACAAACAAAACCCAGAAGGCCCCGAGCCCTTTCCCCAAGCCTGGAATTTCAGACTTCAGCCACGTAACCACGGATTCCGGTCTGCCCACTCTCATGCCATTGCTGACTCTTCAGCCATGTAACCACTGATTCCAGTCCACATGCCCATGCCATCCTGACTGCCTCCCAGTCTGAGCCAGCTCTTCTCTCTCCTACGTGCTCCTTCACTTCCTGTTACTTGGCTCTTTCTGGCCAGGCCCAAGTTGAACTGAATATTGACTGAGTTGTGCGGCCTCCCTCCCTTTACTGAAGTGCCAATGGTTCCCTAGTCTTCTTAGGCTGACCTGAATCCTCTAGGATCCTACAGAACTAGCCTTACTTGCTTCCCTGATCCTGTTTCTGGTCACTATCCTTCACTGTCTGAGCTCACCCACCTTGAGTTCATCTCCACAACACTAAGCCTCTTTGCGGACCAAGTTCTTTTCATACTCTGATCTTCAGCTTAGAAAACTCTCCCTCTCCCACCTTCCCCAGTCCATTCCTGCAACTCTTAACCTTTTTCGGCGGAGCCTTCAACAGTTCCTGCTGCGGCCATGGCAGCACGTGGTCTAACAGAACCTGAAAACTCATGAGGGGACCTTTATGTATGCAGTCTCAATGCTAGACTGTCATAACATTGGCATGCAGGCAAAGGCCAAGTAGTGAACCTGGTTCCCTAAGGTCTCCCCAGCACCAAGCACAATGCCCAGCAGAGGAAGAACACCAGTAGGTGCTAACAACGGAGGCCAAGGGGCACCCTCACACCCAATAGCTCCCCACCAGTTGGGCCTACTGGCGGATCCTCTGGAGGAAAACTGAGGCTGTGGTTGTATCCAGGGTCATGAGACTTTCCGGGACTAGAAGTTACTGGGACAGGGATACCAGAGGGTGACTCACTCTGCCCACTGAGCCTGTCTCCTGGCCAGTTAGTTCAAACCCCTGGCCCCAACTTGTTCATCTCGTGAATGAACACTGGGATAAGAATGGGCCATCTATGTACATACAGAAATACCGTCGCTAGCTCCGGTGGTCAGGTAAATGTTGTCCGGGTCGGCAGGTACACCATCTCTCCTAGTGATAAAGGCTGCCACGTCTTCACGGATGCAGTTCACACCCTGGCTGGCGCTGTAGGATCCTGTGAAACAACAAACAAGATAATGATTAGAGGCAAGACGTCTGGTTCCACAAAATGAGTGCGGCACCCATATAATTAGCTGGGGGTAAAGATGGCTGCGGACACTAAAGTAGGGCCTCTTTCCCACGGCTCTGGGCTCTGGAACTATAGCAAGCTGCTTACCTACTCATTTGGGCTCTTCCACCCACCCACCCACCTTTCCACCCAGTGTTTACTGAGCATCTATTACGCAGTAGCCCTCGCTTCTACTGTGTCAGGCAGTGCCCATACCCGTGACACAGTCATGCTCTATGGTAACAGTACCCATTAGGTCTGGGGTGTCTATGCTTTAGTTAGGTGCTTACTCATGGGTCTACAGAACTTGAGAGAATGGGTTGATACTAGCCCTCCAAAGTAGCTCAGGGTTCTAAAGGGATCCGATGCAGATCCTGGAGACTGACCCTGGAGTATCTAGCCACCACTGACTGAACTGTTTGCCAGATGGACAAGAAAGAAAGCACTAGTAAGAAACACACTTGCATTTTTTTTAAGGACAGGGTCTCCATGTAGCTCTAGCTGGCCTCCAGTTTAAAAGATCTGTCTACCTCACCGGGCGGTGGTGGCGCATGTCTATACCCCCGGCACTCGGGAGGCAGAGGCAGGCAGATCTCTGTGAGTTCAAGGCCAGCCTGCTCTACAAGAGCTAGTTCCAGGACAGCTAGGACTGTTACACAGTGAAACCCTGTCTCAAAAGCAAAACAAAACAAAATAAAACAAAAAACAAAAAACCACCTGCCTACCTCTGCCTCGTGACTACTGGCATTAAAGAGCAAGACACCTCGCCCTACCAAGTAAAATATGATTTTAAGAGTCATGAGAAAAGCAAGGCTGAACTCTAAGGCTTCACACATGGGGCCTAGAAAGACAGCTCAGTAGGGAAGAAGACTGGCTGTCCTTGCAGAGGACCCAGGTTCAATCTTCAGCACCCATGTGGTGGTTCACTGCTGCCTGGAACTGCAGTTCCAGGGGAGTCAACCCCCTCTTCTGGCCCACGGGCAATGCACATACAGAGAAGCAGGCACAAACATATGCATACATTAAAACAGATAAAAATGGACTGGGGAGATGGTTCAGTGGCTAAGGACACTGACTGCTCTTCCAGGGGACCTGGGTTCAACTCTCAACATTCACATGGTGGCTCACAACTGTCTCAAATGTCAAGTTCCAGGAGATCCGATGCCCTCTCCTCACCTCCACAGACACAAGGTTTACAAGTGGTGCATGGACATACATGCAGGCAAAAATGCCCATAGACATAAAATAAAAGATGTTTAAAATTAAAAACAAAACCTTCACATATATATTCAGTAATTGGTACTCTGGTCAGTGTGCTCCTAGAGAACACGGACATATTCTACTTCCTTTTACTTCTAGGAAACAGTTTGGGCTGCCGAAGGCCCTGCTGACACTGGCCCCTCAGCATCACCGTTAGAAGGAGCATACTAACTGCTCCTTGCAGGGGGCAGAGCCTGGCTGCATCTCGACATCTACCAGGAGGCTCTCGCCAACACATCAGCCTTTCTCACAAGTCCAGGAGGAGAAGACAAAATAGTTCCTAGCCTAAAGACGAGAAGGAAAGGCTCAGAGTGTGCTCTCTCATCTGTCTTCACAAGTGCCTGAGACAGAGCCCAGTGTAGGCCAAACCCCTTATGGTCTACCGGTTTCCTCATATAACACCTCAAGGCAGCCCTTCCACAGACACAGCCTCTTACCTACCCCCTAGCTCTGGCTGACAAAGAGGAACAAAAGTCAATAAATGAGGTTTAGTGGGTGGAACAAAGGTCCACTCCCTACCCCCTCACATTAGACACACACAAAGCAAACTCCCCTCCTCTTCGCCTGCCTCTCCAGTGAAACTTCTGGAGACCTCAGGGCCACAGGGTTTTGAGAAATACGTCTGTCCTCTGTGCTGGGAGGAGGGTAAAGGAAAAGCAATTCCTCTGCAGCAGAAGATTTAGCCCCCAGGCTGGCAGGCAGGGAAGCAGGGGCACTGGCCTTTTCCTAAGAGAGACACCACAGCACCCATATCAAGGGTGTTGACAGGGTCACCATGGCCAGCAGGTACACACAGAGCACACAGGAGACAGAGCACAGAAAGAGAGAGGGGAGCAGAGAGGGAGGCAGGAACCAAGGGGCGGTTTAGCTGTTCTCTGACCTGATTGAGCAATTTAGAAAAATATCTGTTTCACTCTTGGCTCTAGGTCTCAGAACATTAGGGTGCATATTCTAAGAAAGCTTTAAAACAACCATTTTGCTGAGCGGTGGTGGTGCATGCACTCAGGAGGCGGAGCAGGTGGATTTCTGTGAGTTTGAGGCCAGCCTGGTCTACAAGAGCTAGTTCCAAGACAGGCTCCAAAGCTACAGTGAAACCTTGTCGGGGGGCGGAGAGATGGTTCAGTGGTTAAGAGCATTGCCTGCTCTTCCAAAGGTCCTGAGTTCAATTCCTGGCAACCACATGGTGGCTCACAACCATCTGTAATGAGATCTGATGCTCTCTTCTGGCCTGCAGACATACACACAGACGGAATATTGTATACATAATAAATAAATAAATAAATAAAACCTTGTCTTAAAAACCAGACAACAAAAGACCAACTCTTTTTTTTTTTTGGACTGAGATCTGCTGTGCAGGCACTGGGGAAAAGGGGAAACAGGAAAGAAAATGAGATGAGAACACAGAGCCAGAGCCAAGAGTTGGATTCTAAGCAGGGTAGGGAGGGGGAATAGTACTGTCACATCCACAGAGGTCAAATTCAGGGCCTCCTTGTTTGGAGTCAGAGGGCACCTGCTGGGCCTGGGTTCTCCACAAAGAGGAACAGGGGTAGGATGGAAGGGCTGCAACAGAGTGGAAGGGGTAACAGGGACAATTCAACTGAAGAAAGCCAAACAAAGCGGGGCAGAAGGGACATGGATGCTCCCTGTCCCCGGCAAATAGTAGCCGCTCTTCAGACAGTGCCACAGACACAAGAAGCTTGAGCTAAGCTGGGAACTATCCTTTTACTTAGCCTCCAGCTGGCCACCGAACAAGCCCATATCAGAAACTAGAGATATCTGCCCTCGAGTATCCGACCCCCACAGGACGGCATGGAAAGCACTGGCTTAGTACATTTGGGAGGAAGAGCATATGTGCCCCTGTGCACACGCGACCCATCAGCCACTGTCCGCACTTTCAGCGCAGCCACCTCATAGCCCTCTGTGTGCTAATGGGCCCAGACCTATCCCGGAACCCACATTCATTTCACATCCTTGAGGACTTTGCAAATTGGTCCTCACCCAAGCTGTTTCCACCACAAGCCTGCAGGATCCGCCGGGCTCGCTTCTTAGCATCTTCTGGGAAGCTGGGGCTGCTTAGCAGGTTTGGGTAGGTGCAGAGCGCCATCACCTAAAGAAAGAGGGTACAGCTGAGCTTTTACGATGGTACCCCAAGACCACAGGACACTAGGCAAGGTACAGTGAGAAGATGCCAAATCCGAACACCACGTCGCAGCACGCCTCTCCATGAGAGCTGAGGCTGTGGGAGCTCAGGGTAGCACAGAGGGAGACGCTGGCTCTCTGCAGCAGGGGAGGTTCTGACGGCCAAGAGGCATGACTTCCAAGGCTTGGTGCAAGAATGAGGTACCAAAAGGGGAGCCATGGCGGAGTGTGAGGGTGCTACACAGCCCCGGCCTCTACTCATCCATGAAGAACACTGGACCCAAACACTGAGGATCTTAAGAACTAGAGAGGCTTCCGGGTAAGGGGCCAGGCCCTAGTGGGCAGCAGAATCTGGCTGACAGGAAGAAGGCTGTGAGGTCCTGCAGACACACAGCCTGAAGCCCTCCTCAGCCTGTTTTCTGCGAGACTAAACTTCAGACCCGAAAGCCAGACAGGCTTCTCTTTCCTGTAACAAAATCACCTAAACACCCAGACTGCGAGGATTAACCAAGGCCGTGTGTGACACGGTGCCAGTAAAACTCGCACACCTGTCTAAAGCTGGTGGCTGAGGAACCACGCCAGGCTCACTGCAGGCAGGGGAGAACAGGTTATAGTGCTGATATCAGCTGCATGACTAACTCCCTGCTTGTTTCTTCTTCCTCTGGATAAAGGGCAAGAACGAGGTCTACCCTTCTCCCAGGGGCATTATGAAGAACATAGGAGACAGGTGAAGGCTACAGGTAGCTCACACCATCTGAGACAAGTTAGGACAGCTGGGGTCCAGGGCTGGGTTGGCTTGGGGGATGAGTTTGACAGCCTGTGAAGGTAAGCGCTGTTGGGAACCTACTCATGACCTGAGACCTGGAACCATCTGGAACCTCTACTGACAATCAAGGACCCCAGATTTCCTCCTGCCTCTGCTTCTCTGATGGGCTACTGTTTGGCCCCCTACCTCTGCACCCCGGGCACTAATCCACTCATCTCCACAGTCCTCTGCAGGTCAGCAGTAATGGCTGCAGGGTATCCCTCAGACAGGACCAGCTGTATGCTCCCCTCTGTCACACAGGGGCTGGGGCCCCAAAGGACAAGGTGAGGGGACCCCCGTGGTATGACACTTCTGAAGGTGGTGACACAGGGAGAGAAAAGGGAAAAAGGCTACCATTTTGAAGGTTCATTACCTGCCCTGCATGTGAACCATAACCACACATGAACCAGAATGGGCCCAGTCCTGCTTCAGGAAAAGGTTTTCCATAGCTAGGTCTCCTACCCCTGATCAGGCTGCCCTGTGGCCTTTTCCCCACCATGCTTTCCTCCTTCTGGCTGCTGATCCTTCATTGTTAGCTCACGCAACATTGTATCATCGATGTTCAGACATAAATACTGAACCCCACCACCACTCAGAGCCCTTATGAGGGGGGTGGGTTATGCTGGAGGCAACCGAGAGCAGAGGCAGTCGCTGCTATAACCTGAGCTTTTGCTGGGCTGGAGGGAGACCTCCATCTGCCAGCCAAGGGAGCTCCACTGTGCAAAGGCACAACGCCAGCCAGCAGTCCAGCACAGGGACTCCCTTTGGGCTGTGTTTTCACCCTGGCATTCTTCCTCCGGGCCCTCTGCCCCCCCCCACATACACACACACACACACACACACACACACACACACACACACACCCTCACAGAAGCTCTCCGTCGGGACCCCAGATCTATCATGGAAGAACCTTCCTGGAAGGTTCCTACCCCAGACCACCACAAATGGGTTAAGGCATTTTTGATACCTTTAGAAGGGGATTGCTAAGAGAGAGAAAAGCAGGGGACATCAGGGCTGCTACTTTGGTGGCACATCCCCCAGGGACTCTAGTGCATGATGTACCGGCCCCTCCCAAGTTCTAGTTCAGGGCTCCAGAAGGCCTGTTCCAGGAGGGCGGGCTCACCTGACGGAGGAAGGTGATTGGCTGCTGGCCCATAGCATGGGCATCCCCAATGTTGGCTCGGATAACCTCAGTGAATGGTTTCTTGATACCCTGCGGAGAGAAGGTGGCAGGTGGTTAGTTAAGGACTCAGACTCTACATTCCTGAGGCCACGTTGTAGAACTGCCGCAAGATATTAATAAGCAATCCTATTTTGAGCCTCACCAAATGTCAGGCAGTGAGCACTAACTACGCCTGGTTCCATTTAATCTTCACAACCCTTTCCACGAGGAAGGACGAGGGGCCACCCCACTTCACAAACGAAGAAACCGAGGTTTCAAAAGACTAAGGAACTCGCCTGGTGTCACGTGACTGATAGACACAAGCATTAGGATTTGAGCTCTGGAAGGCAGGTCCCCAGTGTGCTCTGCGCTATCACCCCCACTTTCTGGACAAACCGGAGGAGCTGTTAGGTGGCTGAGGCCTCATGACACAGCTCCACAGCCTGTCACTTCACCGGGATGTCTAAAAGGCACGAGGACCAAAGTGGCAGTAGAGGAAGAGCAGAGGCCATGAAAATATGCCCAGAGTCAGGGAGGGAGAGCCTAGATGTCCCTACTCCTGTGCCCAACGAGAGTAAAGGGCTAGAGACCCGGAGTTCACGGCCCCCTCCAGAAGACATCCATGGCCCCCTCCAGAAGACATCCATCTATGGGAATTAGGTCCTGGCCTTGTTCTCTCACAAGCCAGTTTTTGCAGAATGGCTAGTTTCCTTTTCTTTCTCTTTAGCAGAAAGGATAAGAGACAATGAAGAGAGCACCAAACAGGGATCACAGAGGGACTAACTCAAGAGAGATCTGAGCCAGGCGGGGTGGCACACGCCTTTAATCCCAGCACGCTGGAGGCAGAGGCAGGTGGATCTCTATGGGTTCGAGGCCAGTCTGGTCTACAGAGAGAGTTCCAGGACAGCCAAGGCTACACAAATCCTGCCTTGAAAAGGGGATTCGGAGGTCACTGGGGAGTGAGGGAAAGACACTTCAGCTGCCCCAAAGGTTAAAACAGATCACGGAGACGTGGAAGCAAGGGAGTCCACACAGCTCCCTTGATAAATCCAGCATCAGCTGCTGGAGGAATAGATTAGCAAATTCAAAGACCTCCCTGGGTGGCTGGGAGGATAATCAGGAGCAAACCCCGCCTCACACAGCTAGTCCAGGAAGGAGGCCCTGAGTGTCACTGTGAAGGAAGGAGGGGTGAGGGTGGGAAGGCCTGGCAGCCCCCACCCCATCTCCAGCTGTGCTTTTCCAAATACAATATTTAAAGATACAATTCTGCGGTTTTGACACTGGTGAAGTTTGTTCTCCTGAGTGTGTGCACATGTGTACAAGTGCATGTGTCTCTGCCCATGTGTGCACCACACTCAGGTGTGTGCTTGAGCATGGGCAAACACGCAGAGGCCAGAAGAGGGTTCTGACTCCGCAGCTCTCCCCTTGGTGCTCTGACACAGGACGTCTCACTGCCCATGGAGCTCGCTGGTTTTGGCCAGGCCGCCGGCCAGCCAGCCCTAACGCCCCTATTCCCACCAGCACTGGGGCTTCAGGGTCAAGGGGCACCAGGCCTGGCTTTTCGCCTGGGCACTGGAGATTTGAACTCAGGCTCACACCTACATGACGAGCACACTTACGGAGCCATCTCTTTGGCCCTTCCCCACCAAGTTCTTTCTCTGAGCCTCACAAGGCATAGCGGGCTGAGAAAAGAATCCGAGAAAGGGCCTCCGAGTGTCACAAACAGAGCCCAAGTCTCTGAAAGGTGTGTCTGGGAGACGGGGACCCTGCAAGTGTCTCCTGCCCCATCTTTAGAGCTAGTCAGAGATGGCCAATATGGAGCTTTTCCCCGGGCAGCAGTCACACATCTCTAGACCAAGGCAGGTGGTGGCAGCCCTTGCTGCACCAGGCTGGGTCAGTAAGAGGAAAGATGGGCACGTAGCTGCAAGGCTCACCCCACAGGGAGAAGCCAAGAAGGATAGTGGGGGCGATGAGGTAGCTGCCTAAGTCATAGCATACAGAAGGCAGGCCCGCACACCCTAGCGCCGGCCTGGGTTCCTCAACTGAGAAGCCCTCCATCAGCCTTTAAACCACTGTAGCTCTCAAGCCCACAGCTACTGAACAGAGATGACTCTCTGGTATGGCCAGAGCCTATTCTTCAGTAAGAAATAAATCTGTCACGGGCCAAGAAGGCTTATACTCAACATACAGTTATAGGCCTGGGCTATGGGCCAGCCCAATACAGAAGAAAATAATGCCTGGAATCTAGCCCTCGATGTCCCTTTCCTGTGCACTCCCCTAGCACTATTTAGCCAATTCAGGGCTTGCTGACCCAAAGCTTGGGAACACTGAGCACCCCCTTTCTTGGGTCACTGGGCCTACAGACCATGGACACTTTGCATGATGGATGAGTTTGGGCCAGGATGTGGCTCCCTTGAATAGACAAGCAGACCATTCTACATAGCTAAGAGCAACCACTCAGAAGGGTGACCCACATGAGCTGGGAATACTAAGGTACCCCAGAAAGATTCTGGCCCAAAATGCGTATCCAGGCCCAGTACGTGCACCAGTGGTGCCACTGCCCCCCGTTCTGCACCTTGGCAGAGGGGCTAACAAGCATGCAGCCTTTGGTTGTCTCTCACAGCATTCTAGAGTTCCTCTGTCTAAGGCACTTGCACATGTCCAAGCCACAACTGCGTCCCACGCAGCACTGAGAGAACATCCCGGGAGGGCGGTGCGCTCTTCCTGCCACTTGGACTTATTATGTAGGGGTCAATAGTGGTGAAGCAAAAGAAAGAGATTTATCACTGTCCTTCCAGCCCACAATTCTAGACTAGTGGACAAGTTGCACGGGGACAAGGCAAAATAAAAGAAGTAGCAAAAAGGGAAGGCTGAGGAAATGGCTCAGGCGCAATGACCTGAGTTCAAGCCCTAGAATTGCATATAAAAACAAAACCAAAAACCTCAAGTGCAATGGTGTATGGTTTGCACTCTCAGTGCTGGGAAGGGAAAACAAGCGAATTCCCAGGGTTCACCAGCCTAGAGGAGTCAATGAGTTCCAGGCAAATGGGAGCCCCCGTCTCAAAACCTAAGGTGAAGGCATCCAAAGAATGACACCAATGTTGTTCTGTGGCTTCTACATATACCCTACACATGTATGCACCTCTACATGTACACACACACACACACACACACACACACACACACACAAGAAAAATGCTATTTTAGAAAAGAGTAAGTCCAGTGTGGTGGCACATGCCTTTAATCCCAGGGCTTGGGAGGCGCGTGCAGGTCTCAGGACTAGAAGAGGACACTCAGATTCCTTGGAGCTCAAGTCACAGGTGGTGTGAGCTTCCCAATATGGCTTCTGGGAATCAAGTCTGATCCTCTGTAAGAGCAGCAAGTGCTCTTAACCACAGAGCCATTTCTCCAGCCCCCATGCTGAACATCTTAATCATGCACACTTTGTGTCTGCCTGTTACACCCTCCCCCCCAACAGAGCTGGGGTGGAGAGGAGGCAGGGACAAAAGCAAGCTAATTTCCTTGTTCAAAGGATGGCCCAGTCACTTCATGAGACCTATGTTCAAGAAGCCCACAGAGTTTCCCCTTTGTTCAACAAATATTCCCAATAGAGCAATAAGGAGACTGAGAGTGAGAGATGGTAGGCGGGGACCAATGAGAAAAACTAAAGCAAATGTTGGAAGTGAAGACTAAGAGGGGTCCAGGGCTACAGAGATGGCTCAGCGGGTAAGTGTGCGTTACCCGCTCTAGCAGAGGACCCGAGTTCAGTTCCCAGCACTCGGGAGCAGCTCACAACTGCCTGGGACTCCAGCACTATGCCTCTGGCCTCAGTGAGCAGCTCTACCCACATACACACGAAAGCACACACAAATAAATCTTTCCCAAAAGTGAGTACAGGAAAGGAGTGAGGTACAAGGTGGGAGAGAGGTCTTCCCAGACCCCAGAAAGCTCATACGAAAGGCCCCTTGCTCCCAGATTCAAAGGGACAATTAACCAGACTAGAGTAGGCAGAAGTCCTGAAAGAAGCTCTGGAGACAAAACCCCACCAGGTCCCACGGGTCCTGAAAACAGGTGCAATTCACAGAAAACTCTGAGACCCAAGCAAGCCTCTGACCTCCACAGACAATCAGAGAAGATTTACAAGGAGCAGGGTGGAAAAGATGGCTCACCGGGAAAAAGCACTTGCTGCTCTTACCAAAGACCCGGGTTTGGTTCCCAGCACCCACACAGCAGGTCACAGCTATCTCTAACTCCAGTTCCGGGGGATCTGACACCGTCTTCTGGCCTCACAGGCACCAGGCATACATGTGATATACATATAATATATACATACAAACAAAACACACACACATAAAATAACAAACATTTAAAAGTAAATAAATCTAAAAAAAAATTGTAAGGACCATTATCACAGCGAAGTGGCAGTTGACCCAGGAAGCCCCACATTGACAGATTCAGAGGTGGGAAGCAATTTCCACTTCTTACACTCAAGCAATGCAGAGTAGTTTGGGAAAAAGCTGGGCAGTGGTGGCACACACCTTTAATCCCAGGACTCAGGAGGCAGAGGCAGGAGGATCTCTGATTTCGAGGTCAGCCCAGTCTACAGAACGAGTTCCAGGACAGCCAAAGCTACACAGAGAAACTCTGTCTTGAAAAACAAAACAAAACAAAAGTTTCAGAACAAAGAAGGGTCTTGCTGTGCTTCCCATGATTGGTTTGGAGCTCCTGGACGCAGGGATCTTCCTGCCTCTGCAGCCTGAGCAGCTGGAACTGCAGGCCCTGCCACTGTGACCTAAGGACAAAGACTCTAACGATTTTAATTAGCTTCTGTTTAAAGGATTATCACTAACACTGCAAACCAGTTTGTGAAGAAGAGAGAGCGCAGGCCAACACAGTCTGGATGAATTGCCTGAGGGCCAGAGTCCTTAAAGCCTTAAAGCCTTAAAGCCTGGGATGCAGGTCTATGGTCAGCACAGGGTGGATGGGTGCAGGAGTCATCCTGCCAAGGAAATCTTCTAGTTTTCTTCTTTATTATTCAATTTTTCCTTTCTCTTGAGACAGGGTTTTACTTTGCAGCCTTGGCTGTTTGGCTAGCCTGGAACCCACTATGTAGATCCGGTTAGTCTCAAATCCTCAGATGCTATCCACTGCCTCAGCCTCCCCAGTGCTGGGATTGAAGGAGTGTGCCATCACACCTGGAAATGTTCTATACTAACTCTGAAGATGACCAGTGAGACGCCTTGTGCTCAGCACATCCAGGGCTATAACTTCTATGCAGTGAACAACAGCCATGTGCTAGGGCCCCACGTTACACACAACACACACTGAAGGTAAGACAAGTAATCAGACTTCTCTAGTTCTGAACCTTCTGCTCTTTGAGAGCTTTCAGTTTCTGTTTTATTTACTTTGTATATGTTCCTGTAGGTGCATGTGTGTGTGTGTGTGTGTGTGTGTGTGTGTGTGTGTGCGTGTGTGTGTGCAAGGGGAGGTCACAGGTCAGTCTTGGGTGTGGTTCCTCAGGAGCCATCCACCTCGTGTTTTGAGAAAGGGTCTCTCATTGGCTTGAGTAGGGTACTAGCTGGCCATGGGAACCCCAGGGATCCTCCTGTCTGCCTCTCCAAAACTGGGATACAGGTGCACACCCCCAGGCCTGGCTTTTTCACTTGTGTTCTGGGGATCAAACTCAGGCCCTCACATGGTGAGCACGTTTATATTTGCAGGTTTTGAAGCAGAGCTTTCCTATAGTTATTGCTCAGACTGGCCCTGAATTCCTGGACTCAAATAATCCCCCTGTCTCAGACAAGCAGCTAGATTTATAGCCCCCCCACCCCGCTGCCAATATTCCACCTGGCTGGTGTTTACTTTTACAATTGGAAAGTAAAGCCATTCCTTCGCTCTACTGTGCCAAGTCCTGATCCCTGCCCTTAAACAAGCAAGAGAGAGAAAAAAAAAAAAAGGAGGTTGAGAAACTGTCCGATCCTCTCAAGCCCCCTTTAATTGCATCTTATTAAAAAGTGCTGCTCCCAATGAACAATGGGGTTCGAAACCCCAAAACAGCCTCTCCCTTGGTGGAGCTGCTGTCAAGGAGAAATGGCCCCCTTAGCTTTAGCCTCTTCCCCTCTTCCTTCAGGCTACCTTATCAGAGGAGCAAAAAACACGGGGACTAAGCCCTGCCAGCCACCTTGAAGACAAACACCAGGGCCACGTGTCCAGCCGGTACTGTTGGCAAAAGAACTCACTGAAACAATTCCATAAGCAGCAAACAATTCTGGGACCCAGGGCTAGAGAGATGGCTCAGTGGTTAAGAGAACCACTCGCTACTTTTACAAAGGTCCTGAGTTCAATTCCCAGCACCCACATGGCAGCTCACAACTGTCTGTAACTCCAGTTCCAGGGGATCTGACACCTTCACACAAATGCACACAAAAAATAAATTTAAATAAATAAATAAATATGCTGGGACCCATCATAGAGATCACCCTAAGGACATGACATTAGAGAATGGGGCAAGTGGACCAGCTAAGCTTTTTGCCTCCTTCATAGACTAGGGAAACCGATGCCCAGAGAAAACATGGAAATTGCCCCAAGTCTTCACACAAACCTCTTGACCAGATAAAACCCTTTAGAACACCCGTCCAATTTGGATTGCTAAATTCAAAACAGAGGCAGAAATAACAAACCTTGCAAAGCCAACACAAACAGAAAATAAATAAAAAATAACAGGGCTCAGGACAGCTCCAGGTCAATGGTAGAGTGCCTGCCTAGCATTAGTAAAACCCTAAATCCAAGTCCCCAGCACCAACTCTCACCTCCCCCCACCCCCCCCCCCCCCAGAAAGAAACAACTGACAAATACGAGGGACAAAGTTGACCATTACGGCTAGAGAGGGCACGGTGGTGCACACCTTTAATCCCAGCACTGAGAAGCAGAGGCAGGTGGGTGAACCTCTGTGAGTTCCCGGCCAGCCTGATCTACCTACGAAGTTCCAGGTCTGTTAAGCCTACATGATGAGACCCTGTCTTAAAACCAAAACAAACATCAGAGAATGTAGGTGGACAGAGAGAACTTCTCAGCTAACTTGGGGGTACTCAAATTTGGATGTGTAAAATGTCTGTTTAGGATGTAGAGATACTTTTGGCCCAGTGACCAAGACATGTGTCTACCCGAGCTATACCACTGCTGGAAACCCTTCCCGGCTCCCCATGTCCAGCTGAGAGGCATGGTAAAGTCCCGAGTCATTCAAACAACTTCTGTCTCCTCCACCTCATCCACCCTGCCTCCCTCTGCCACACAGACTCCTACTAAGCACATCTACCCCTTCCTTTAAACCTAGAACTTCCCAACTTCCCTGCTCTCATCACAGCACTGCCTGCTCCTGGAACACTCTCACGTCCTCTGCCTGTTGAAAAATCCCACCAAACTGTAATGAACTGGGGGAGACGGAACTGGAATAACAATATGGCAGCCTGAACCTAAGGTCAGGGACCTCTTGATCCTCACCATCTTCTGCTTTATAGAGCCAACACGGAAGCTGCTCTTTAGCAAACGTAGAAAGAATTCCTGGAACCGCTCCCAGCTCTGGAACCAGAGAAATCAGCTGTGACGTGATAAAACAGGGAACACTTTAATCCGAGCTTTGTTTTAGCAGGGAGACTGTTGCCTCAAGGAGGGACAGCTGCAGCCTCCCAGATCCCAAAGTTCGGAAGAGGAAAACACATGCTCCATGCCCACCAGTGTGTCAGGACGGCACAGAACGGAGCCAGGCTTCTCTGGGCCCAGCCTTAAACAGCCGCAGGGTGGAGAGACAGTGCAGGGGTTGAGACCACACTCTGCTCCTGCAGAGGACTCCAGTTTAGTTTCCACATCAGGGAGCTGACAAGTGCCTGTAACTTCAGCTTCCAAGAAGATCCAACTCTTGTTTTGCTTTGTTTTTTGAAACAGGGTTTCTCTTATAGCCCTGGCTGTCTGGAACTTGCTCTGTAGACCAGGCTGGTCTCGAATTCAGAGACCTGCCTCTGCCTCCCAAGTGCTGGGATTAAAGGTGTGCGCCACCACCGCCCGGCTACTTATACACATATTTAAAAATAATAAAAAATAAATCTTAAAAAAAAAACACCAAAACCCATCCCCATAAAGGTCAGCAACAGACACTGAGCTAGCTTCCTTTCATCCAACTCACTGTTCTGAGTAGAACTGAGTGTCTGAGGCCTCATCAAACTTCCCACGGAAAGAGGAGACCCTAAGAGTTCCTCTCACTCATTCAAGGATGCTGAGTGAGACACTGGGATTTGGTAACTCTGAGCAAAATCAAGAAACTCACATTCTGGGTCAGAACTATCTGCTAACATTTTCTTTTCTTTTCTTTATTTTTTCTTCAATACAGGGTTTCACTGTGGAGATCTGGCTGTCCTGGAACTCACTCTGTAGACCAGGCTGGCCTTGAACTCACAGAAATCCACTAAGGGCATGCACCACCATCCCCCAGCCAACATTTTCTTACTAATCTTAGGAGTGTTTCCTTTTAATGTTCCCTCTTGACTCTGACTTCCGAATTCCACCCAGGTTAAAATTCAGTATCCTAGGATGCAGGGCAGTGGAGTGTGCCTGTAAGTTCCAGCACCAGGGAGGTGGGGCCAGGAGAACGTGGAGTCCAAGGCCAACCTGGGCTACACAGCCAGACCTTGTCCCCAGCACAAAGAACTTGGTTCCATCCAAGGGCATGTCTTACATACAGCCTCACCACCCTGGTTGGGACTGGGAAAAATCACCCCAGGATTTTTACAACAACTATGGATTCAAGCCAACATCCCTGGCATCACCAGGGTCGCCTTATTAAGGCCACAAGGACCCAACTCTCTGATTCTAGCAGTCACGGTTCTCGAGGTACAAAAGAAGGAATTCTGCCAGTCTCTTCTGCAGAGTCCCATTCTTGTCAAGCAACTGTGGTTGGCCAAGACCCAACGGGCCGCAGCCCTGAATTAAAGGTTCAGGAACAAACTAGTCACACAACCTCCCTTCCTCCCTCCGCTCCTACCTAACAGGGTTTCTCTCTCACCACCCCCAGGCCCCTTCCTCTTACTTTCTTCAAAGCATCTGTTCACTATCTGAAACTCTCACTTCTATATTCACTTGTTTTCCTCCTTCCAAGGGATCTTGGTTCTATGAGGACACTTAGGGAACACACAGTGCCTGGCAGCATAGGCCGCTCAATAATTGGGTACAATTCAACAAGTGAACCGTCGGAAGGCCTCACTTTGTGCCAGATGCGGGGCACTGGTGGGTAACGGGCGAAAGAGGGGGCGTTCTCTTGTTCCAGCCAAAAAAATGGTACAATGAAGAAGTTGGACGCTGGGGATGGAGGTCCTGCTGGAGGACCCCAGACGGGTTTGCCAGGGTACTTCCCGCCATGAGCGCCCCCTGGCCTCGCGCCCCGCAGGCCCCGGGCTCACCCGCTGCAGCTCCATCTCGATCTCGCCGGCCTTGAGCACGATGGGTCCGCGCACGGCGTACTCCACCGCCTTCACCTGCGGGTTCATGGACTCCAGAGTGAGGATGCGGTCTCGAGGGCTGCGCTCCGGTCGCACCTTGAGCGCCGCCGAAGCTTCGGCTGCAGCGCTGCTGTGACTACGGACCCAGGGGCCCGAGGCGCGGGGGCAGGAGCCCCGCCGCACCAGAACCGCCGCCCGCTGCATCGCGAACCTGCAGACGATAACCCTGGCCCAGAAAGAACAAGAGCAAGTCATCGCGCACAGCCCCAGGTGGAAACCAATCCCCCAAGAGCACAAGGCTCTCGGCTAGCAACGCCAGTCTAGCTCCGGGGTTGGATTCCCACCCCTTGGTTACTGGGACCCCGCACCGCGCCTCTGCAGCATCAAGACTCTGCACGGCTGGGTGGCCCGGGCTGCACCCAATGTGAGAATGCAACGTGCCTGTCGTCGCGGAGCCGCCCGCACCGGTCCGGTTAATAAGCGTCTGGGCTGCTCCCAAGCTGAGTGGCCGGCCACCGCATCCTGGCGCCTGGCACCCGTACCTTCTGGCCCCCTGCATTCGCACACCCACCGCCGCTGACTCCGCCTCAGGCCTGCGCGCTGGCTTCTGGGTCTTGTAGTTGTCTGGGCCGTACCAACGCTGCTGTGACGAGCTGGATAAACTACAAGTCCTCTAGGGCCTGGCGCAAGCCGCACCAGGCTTGGCAGGGGGCGGGGAGCGGTCGTCTGGGCGGGTTCTTGGGGGACAGAGAATCTCGACTGTACGGCGGCAGCTGTCCTTTCCAGAGGCTTTTGGAATTTAGTTATTTGCTGCTTGGCTGCTTCTCCCTGGATGCAGACCCCGCCTCCCTCCACCCTCACCTCGCGACACCTATGGGGTCGTGGACGGCGAGGTGATGCAGTTTTCGCCTTGAGTTTCATCATCCAGGCCGTTTGGTTCTACTGGCCGCTCAGGGGCAGCTGTTTAGGCAGTAGGGCCACTGCGACTTGATATGCTACCCTGGCTCCTTCTCAATTTCAGAGTTCTTGTCAGCAAAGAACATGGGGGCGGGGGGGGGGGGGGGCAGGGCGATTGGAAAGGACCACACGCCGAGTGGTAAGGTTTTTCAATACCACGCTATCTGAAGCCTCACCTCTCCTATATTAATTCCATTTTATTTTCTTTCTAGCCTTCCCAGCATTTAAAATCACCTTGTTTAAGTACTTCTCGCGTGCTCAGAAGGGCAGGAACAGTGTCTTTCTTGCCTGTTTTCGCAACTCTAGCACATAGGCACTTGGTAAATATTTGCTGAACAATGAATCCACAGGACATGGTGCTAATTGCTTTGGGCAGAAGTATCCAGCTGGTGGGTTCCTCCACACGTGCAAGGTGCGCACACATATGGGGCAAGCTTGGGACAGACTAGGTTGGGTGTGCGATTGGTGCAAAGGCAGGATCACCCAGGCTGAGCCACAAGCATCAGTCTCAGACTTTCTCCACATCTGCAAATATAAACTAGGTTAAATGGCCTGTCTTTTAAAATCCTTGTTGTCCTGGAAATTGTGTGATTCTGGGAGTTTTCGGGTGAAACAACTCAGGACTTGGCACAGCCACAACAAATAAACACATAAAGCTTGTGAGAGTTGGGGAAAGGAGACGCGAATAAATGCAGTAGTGTAGGGAAAACAGAAGAAGGAAATCGGGGAGGGGGGGAGTAACTGCAGACAACCACTTTTTAATCAGAGATGTAATTTAATTAAATTTACTTATTTACTGTGTACATTAGTGTTTTTCCTGCAAGTAGGTCTGTATGAGGGTGCCAGATGTTCTGGAACTGGAGTTACAGACAGATGTGAGCTGTCATGTGGGTGCTGGGAATTGAACTCGGGTCCTCTGGAAGAACACTCTCAACCTGTCAGCCATCTCTTCAGCCCCCACAATGACTTCTGAGCCACCTGACCTTAAGCATGTCACTGTCCCCATGTGTGAAATGGGAGTAACAGGCACCTAGCATGCACAAGCGAGGAGAACGTTCTGAAGGAACTTGGCGGGACGTGGATCCTGAGGTTGTACACCGTTCTTGTTGGTCTTTCTTCGAGGGAATCCCAAATGCTTTGAGCAAACAAATTGATTACTCATGAGAGAGGAATGTGCCAGGGAGAGCAGAAACCACAGAGAGTGTGCCTACCTTAGCAGACTGGCTGACTCCTCAAGTCAAAGAAGTTGCTTGGGTGGCAGAGGAGCTGCTTCTCCCGCTTCTGCTCCATCGTCATTGTCTCCGCCATCTTTCTTCTCTTACAAGAAAAGAGATAGTTTATTAAGGCAGAGGAGCACAGAGGTGAGCCAGGCCCTCCCTGTGGCCTGTCTCTCAGAAGGAAGAGGTGCTGTTCAGGCTTTTCATTTTTATCTTAGTTTATGTGTACCAGTGTCTTGTCTCCACATTTGTCTGTGCACCATGTGGGTGCAGTGCCCATGGAGGCCAGAAGTGGGCGTCTAATTCCCTGAAACTGGAATTACAGACTGTTGTGAATGGCCATGGGAACCAAACCTGAGTCCTCTAGAAGAGCAATCAGTGCTCCTAACCACCGAACATCTCTCCACTCCCCTGTCTGGACGTTCAGTTGTCCAGCACCCCTGTCAACAGGTCTCCTTCCCATCTTTTCTATCCGTGCCCATCCATTCAGTCTCCAGGTTGGAGATTCTCCCAGTGGCCTAGAACCTCTGCGTACTTCACTGCCTTCAGTGACCAGCTGAAGAGACACACACACACACACACACACACCCCTCCCCCTCCAAATCACACTTAACTTTGACCTATTCACTGTCCTTTGAGCTACTGTACTATCAACCCAGCTATCTCTATTCTAACCAGGAAGTATAAGGGATCTGGGAGTAGGTCTCCCGGAAGTAAACACAAGCTGAGAAAACAACAGCCAGCGTGTTGCACACTTAACGCCGGTTCCCACCCACATCATCGTTGCAAAACACAAGTCGTTCATATCCCTAACAAGTCCGGTGCCACTGTGTCTCTTATACCAAGCCTGGGGTATAAGCAAGAACCCCAGGCTTGGGGGTGTGACTCAGTGGTAGATGGTCCAGAGTTCAACTCTGATGTGGGGAGGGGAGGGCACTGACAGAAAAACAAACAAACAAGCAAACACCTCGCTCGCGAACCACCGTTAACTATGTGTGAAGCACAAAAGGGCAAGCGTGTTATTTCTGCGCTGCAGTCTCCAGGTAAAGCAGCTTGTTCAGTCAGTCCGGAACGTGGAGTAGGAGCTGTCAAAAGCAGACACCGTCGTCCTGCCTGCCCCCCATTACCCATGCCCCCTGCCCCTCTGATTTACTGGAACTCTAAAGTCACTCTTGTGTAACTCTCTGTGGAAATTTGAACAGTTGATTGCGATGCACTAAACTTTGAAAAGTTTCTTCATGGTACTTGTAATAGGGGGTGGCAATTGCGTGAACTTTGCTTCTCTTCTGCTCTCTCTCAGCGGGGGACCAGTATGAACAAGAGCCTAAATACTGAAACGATCATGAACGTCCTTCCCCAAAGCAGAGTAAACATTGCAAACATACAGCAACTGCAGTCTGCCCACACAGTGGGTGATGTGTTCGGAAGACCTGGTACTTTCCTTCATCTCTTAATTCAACAAGTTCTTTTTGGAGACCCATCATGTCCTAGGCACCGTGCTGAGACATCAATAACTCAGACACGTTGTCCCTGCGTAGGACCATTTCGTAACAAAGGCAGATGTCCTGCCGCTCATCCCACACCCAAACGTGATTACACACTGCACTGTAGTCACTGCTGGGAAGAAAGGGATGGCGCTCTGACAGCGAAGAAGCCTGAGGGAGAGTCAGCCAGATTAAGTGGCCTGTGAGCTTTGGAGAAGCTAAAGGACATCAGCATTGATGAGGTGGTGTGGTAGGGGGGGCTTCTTGAAGCAGGAGGCAGCATATTTTTTTAACCTCTTTACCCCCTTCCTCCCCAAAATAACAAAAGCAAAATAACAACAACAACAACAAAACGCTCATGTTTGCGGGCATAGTGCCTTGTGTCTTTAATCCTAGCACTCTGGAGACAGAGCCTGTAGGTCTCTGTGAGAGCAAGGCTAGCCTTGTCCACAGAGTGGTGTAGTGGCCCCATGCCAGTCAGAGCTACTTAATGAGATCTTGTCTCAAAAAAAGGGGGATCAGCAACTTAGTAAGTCGGAGGCCAGCCTAGGTTGCTTGAAATCTTGTCTCAAAAAAAAACCAAAACAGTAAAAGGGCAACGTGGTGACTGGGGTGGAGGTAAAGGTGCCATGTGCAAGTCTGGCAGCCTGTGTAGGCAGAAGGAGAGAACTGACCTCACAAAGTTTCCCTGTGACCTCCACAAGGGACCGAGGCACACAAGCCCCTCCTCATACACCACAAGGACACATACACACAGTGGCAATTTAAAAATAAATAACTCTCTCCCTTTCACCAAAAAGCAACATACAGAATTCAAATTCTGATAAGGAAATAATACCTAGATATCCAGGAAACTAAGGGGAAAAAACAAAACAAACAAACAAAAAAAAAACCCTGACTTGAAAAGGGGGCAAGCTATTTTGTCAGACTAAACATGTCACCAAGCTTTGGGGGCAACAGAGAGTCTCTTTCTCAATAGGGAAAGTCAAGAGTCTTTTCCTGTCCTCAACTTCGGGTCTCCAAACACATATGCACACAGATGTACACACACACACACGCATATGCCATATACACATGAGAAAAAGGGACGAGCGAGCTGAATAGACACCCAAGAGAAGATAACAACCAACAGACATATGAAAAGGTGTTCAATATCACTAATCGTCATCAGAGAAGTGCAAATCAAAACTGTGGGATGTCATCTCATCCAATTAGAAGGCTATTATTACACACACACGCACGCGCACACACACGCTGGCCTCGATGTGAGGAGAGGACACTTTTATATGCTGGTCCTGGGATATAGGTCGGTGTAGCTCTTATGGGTGTGAAGAATCCCTGGAAAGGAGCTGAGTCTGCAAAGGCTGATCGATGAGTCCTGCAGCGATGTGGAGGGCTGGAATCCTGCAGATCCAGAGCCTAATTACAATTTATTTCAGGCTAGCTTTAACCCCCTAATTAGTCGTTCCTTGCTCACCTCTGGGTCACACCTAGCATCCGGTGACTAACAGATAAGACCTTTTCGGAGCCTATTAACTTAGCAGGACCACTAACTTCCACCAACACAGATTCCCTTTAACTGGAATTACCTATGCCCTTAAAGTTCAAAATAATGAGCCAGATTGGATGAGCCGTGCTAGGAAAATGTACATCAAAGGTCTGAATTCTGGTTTCAAATTTATCATCAGGGTAGCTGCATAACCACACGACAGTACTGTTCCCAGGTTTAGCCTTGAGATGCTCTGTGCAGAATTTCTGGAATATCCATCTGATTTCT